AACTTCATCCAGCTACCTGGAGGACCTCCCACGGGCTTCTCTTCCTGGTTGCGTGGGGTCCCAAGTCCCCAGCCAGGGCAGGCCTTCTACTTCCTTCTTGGCAGAACCTCCGTGCGTGCGCTGCCACTGGAGGCCCGAGGGTTCCGAACCGCCGCCTCAAACTTCGCCAGCCAGTCATCTTCTACGGCGAGGCCAAGTGGCCTCGGATCCCAATCTACACGTCTGGACTTTAGCCAGCTTTTCCCCAAGAAGAAAGCCTACATTCGTGCTCTCAAAAAGGGCCAGGTTCATGGGCTCACATGCTACAAAGGGAAGCTCTACACTGCCAACATGCTGGGCTGGGGGTGACACCTCTTGCTTGGATCCCTGAAGAGGACCACACTCCACAGCCTGGAGAACTCAATGTTCATCCACCTGCCAAAATTCGAAAAAATCGACTACAAGGCATCGTGCTGGAAGAGAGTGAATCAGGTGGATGCTAGCAACACCGGTGGGTCAAGTTCCTCATCTACGGCTCAGGCTTCGACTGGGCAAGCAGGACAGACCGCAGTGAGGACCACAGTGCAGATGGGAGAGATTGAGACGGGGGAGAGCTTTGGCGAGATCATTGAGGAGACAGAGGAGGAGTTCGTGGACTGCATAGAGCCAGTGGTGCTAGTTCCTGATGGCATTACTGTTGTGGCCATGGACCTACAAGATGACGCAGGAGAGCAAATGGTTCAGATGGGGACTGGAGAAGAAGGAGAAGAGGAATGCCTCGTGACATTGGACAGTGGGGCAGACGTTTCTGTGCTGCCAAGGTCATTTGCTGAGACAAAAGCCCACATCCAGATCGACGGGAAATACAATGGGAAGCTTGCATTGTACGGGGAAGCTGGAACATTGGCTCCTTGAGCTCCCACAAGTTTGACGTTCTTTGCCAATGGATGCACTCCCAAAGGCATGATATTCTGTTCCTCCAGGACACAAGATGGGGCTTCACTGGTGACTGGATGGACTCCACCTTTGCCTATATCCACAGTGGATCACAGGAAAGGGCGGGCGGTCTCTTGGTCTTCGTCAGGCGGAGCTTCTGCCCACCAGACAGGTCTCCAAAGACGTCTTTTGCACGTTCGGCTGTACCTGGACACCTCCGGCGTTGACCTGATCAACATCTACCAGTTCCCATGGACGGGCTCGGATCCTCAATGCGTATTGAAAGGCGGGCAGAACTTCTGTCAGGCCTTCCTCAGAGGAACGTGGTCATCCTGGCAGGTGACTTCCATCCTGGCGGGTGACTTCAACGCCAGCCTTCCAAGGACACCCCACTGTGTTGGGCTTCAAGACTTCCAAGGGACCCATGGCAGAAGTACCGGAACTCAACATCCAGATGCCACCACTCTGGCTGATCTTCTTCAACGACGAGGACTACTGGCTATCAACACTTGGGACACCCAGCTGCGCCCCACCTATCAAGGGGGACCTGGCCATCAATCTCGGATTGACTTTGTGATGGTTCGCCACAAGTCCAGTGACTCAATCACTAAAAAGCCCTCTACCTGGCTCACCTTCCAGCTCGATTTGGACACACCAAGGATCACATTCCTCTCCTGTTCAACATCCCCTACAAGTGGTGGGCGTGGAAGCCGCCAGAACATGGGCTCAGCAAAACGCAACAGGTCTTGCTTCAGAAGCGCTGGGAACTTCAAAGTCCTGAATGGGGTCACTGGTGCCATCACCTTGGGCGTCAAATTCACACCCTGCAGGGCCAATCACCGGATCTGGAGGAGGATGGTGGATCTTCGACGACGGCAACCCGCCAGTGAAGTTCGACAAGGATCCGCTGGTGGTGCAAGAGAACTGCTGTCTCTTGTGGCTCAACTGCATGCCACATGGAGGGGCTGAACCGGTCTCCCTGATGGCTGAGGAATCACCCGTCCTGTCAGATGAAGAGAAGGTCAACCGCATCATCCATGATCTCACCATCAATGATGACTGCGCCGCAAAGGGCTTCAGGCCCTGGATGGTTTGGATGCTGGCATCCTAGTGGATCGCCCTGCGCTCTGCCACCGGCTCGTCAAGAAATGCATAATGCGCAGGAGGTGGCCTCGTGATCTCAACTCCCACATGGAGGTGGCCCACCGGGCGCTTTGGGAAGCATCCCTCCCATTGGCTGAGAAGTGTGCGGTTGACTTCATCACGAAGGCCCACCCGACGAGATGGTGCGCCTGTCATCGAACCTTCAGTAGCTATAAGCCGCTTTCGAGGCCCAGACGGATCAAAGGATCCACGCCTTCATCACTCGACGAGCGTATGGAAAGAAAAGATGATGATGATGGTCTTGGTGATGATGATGACGACGACGGTGATGATGATAGTGATGATCGCATTGTGACAATACCAAGATAAACTGATTTCGCCACTCCACGTCGCAGACTAGCTGCAAGCGGGCGACAGCGCACCACCAATCATCCTGCTTGCCAGTGACACGCAGCGTTTGCGCCATCATGTTTCCCTTCCCCCGTGGCGCGGACTCACGCAAACGCATTTTCCACCAAGGCCGCGCCAGTCCGCATGGCACAGCGACATCACAGAGGTCACTTCGCCACACGGTGACAATGTAACACCAAGCCTTGTTGACACCTCATGCGCATTTAATTTGCGCCCGCAGCTTCCAGAAGCTGCTTCCCGCATTGCACTGGCGCCACAAAGTTGCCAGGCCATGCCTTGATTTTTGATGACAGTGTTATATACACACTTTGGCAACATCCAACGTGACTTCCGACAACAGTCACACATTTAGGCAAACTGACGCACGATCCCTGCCGAGGGCTCGCCAAGAACAACAAAATTGCGCTCGCACTAAGAACAGCGGAAGTTCGCATTTCGCCTCATGCTTGAGCACTCGCCACGCACGCTCTCCAGAAAGGCGGGCCCGCCCGACGAAACCAAATTTGCAGTTCACCTCACGGTTGAAGACCCCCGTCTAGGGCTCACTAAGTGACTACAAATTCGCATTTCGCCTCACGTTTGAGCGCTTGAGGCCCGCAATCTCCGCAAGGGGTTCGAGGCAGCCGAGGCAGATGACGACTTTCGTGTTACCACAGTTTCGCTCGCCCGACGCGCGCGATCTCCGCAAAAGGTCGCGTTTCGTTAGCGCCCCGCTGCCTTCAAAGAAGGTTAGAAAGATGTTGAAAAACGTTGTAGTTGCGCAGGCGCGTTCTGTTCTGTAGGTGTCTTCACCTATATCTCAACAATTCTCAACACATGTATCTATACACACCTGTATCATCCTGTATCTCAACACCTGCACCCCTATACCTGTATCTCCACACCTGCATCCCAAGACCCGTATCTCAACGTATCTCAACACAAATGCACGTATCCAAGAACCTGCATCTAGGTAGGGGTGTTGTACCAGGTGCATCACTGCGCCTGTGCACCTGTATGAATCTGTATGATGACGGTGATGATGGTGACAATGATGAGGGTGATGAGACCGACGACGACGACGACAACGACGACGACAACGACGACGACGACAAGGAGGAGGAGGAGGACGAGGAGGAGGAGGAGGCAGGTGTGTTGTTGTAGCAGTTACATCAATCACCTGCATCCCTACACCTGGATGATGATGATGATGATGGTTGGACACTTGAAGTTGGCGGCCGTTCTTTACGGAGAACCCTTCGCAGGTGCTGGCGAAATTAAACAAGAAAACACACACACAGACACACACACTCAAAAATAAAAGGACCGGATAACCCCACATGATAAGTTTTACAAATTTCAGATGTATATGAAGCACATGGGGGACGGAGTAGTGAGATGAAAAGTCAAGAACGAAGTGTGAGGAGAGAAGGTATATGAGGCGGCTGTGCTAAGACGTGTAGTATAAGTGATGATGTGATGGACGAGGATGAGAAGGAGGGGAGGGAGGAGGTGTGTGTGTGTGTGTGGTAAGATGGCGTGCGTGTGTGTGTGTGTGTGGGTGTGTGATAAAGTGTCTGATGATGTGATGAACAAGGATGAGAGGGACGAGAGAGAGAGAGAGAGAGTGAGTGAGTGAGTGAGTGAGTGAGGTGAGTGAGGTGAGTGAGGTGAGTGAGGTGAGTGGAGTGAGTGGAGTGAGTGGAGTGAGTGAGGTGAGTGGAGTGAGTGGAGTGAGTGGAGTGAGTGGTGAGTGGAGTGAGTGAGTGGAGTGGAGTGGAGTGGAGTGGAGTGAGTGAGTGAGTGAGTGTGAGTGAGTGAGAGTGAGTGAGAGTGAGTGAGTGAGTGAGTGAGTGAGAGTGTGAGAGTGAGTGAGTGAGTGAGTGAGTGAGTGAGTGAGTGAGTGAGTGAGAGTGTGAGAGTGTGAGAGTGAGTGAGTGAGTGAGTGGTACAATGCGACTCCAAACCGGCAAGAACCAATGCTATGGAAATCACAATGGCAGTAGTGCACAGACACAGGGTGCGCACATCCTGGCCGCAGCCATTACAATGCGATTCGCAGCCTGTCACAGCCATTGCTTTGCAAATCACAATGGCAGTAACGCACAGAACCGCCGGGGGCC